CGGAAGAAAAATTTTCATGTTGAGCCATTCGTAATAATGCAATCAGTGACTTGTCTAACTCATTTGTAGAGAGTTCGTCAACTTTGCGATTTTCTTTAATGACTTTACAATTGTTACAAAATCTAAAACATAAAGCAGTAATTCGCTGTAATCGATAAAATGAAGAAAATCTTTCAAAAATATCTTACTTATTTGACACTGCGTTTAAAGTTATCGTTTTGATTTTACGCTTTTCTGGAACTTCTTTAACACTAAAATGAGTTTTAGGCCAGAAAACTTGATCTAAAGAAAGCCAACTAGGACCAATCCACCAAATTGAATCCGATTTTAACCGTTCTGCCTCAGTTCCTCTAGAAACTAAATCTGCAGGGTTTTCAACTGATTGGACATGAAACCATTGAGTCAAAATCGTTTGAGATCGAATTTGGGCAACACGGTTCGCTACAAAAAGTTTCCATGTACTAGGCGGTGATGCTATCCAAGAAAGAACGATACTACTATCTGTCCTGAAAAATGATGAATCTATTTTTATTTTCAATGCATCTACTACCCTTAAATACAAGTTACATAGTAATACAGCACCACATAGTTCAAGACGAGGTAAAGTTATAAATTTTAATGACGCTACACGCGATTTGGAACACAATAATCGAACAGTTACTGTTTTATCAACACCAATCGATTTTAAATAAATGCAGGCGCCATAAGCTGACACCGAAGCATCACAAAATCCATGCATTTCTATCCGTTCAAATCCAGGTGTTACTACACATCTAGGAATATTTATGTTAAGGACCATCGGTAATTGTGATTTAAAATGTAACCACGACTTAGAAAGTTCAGGTGGGACAGGTTCATCCCAACCTACCTTCAATTGCCACATCTTTTGAAGCAACATTTTTGCTCTAACTATAATAGGTGCTAATAAACCTAAGGGATCGAAAATTTTTGCTATCGATGATAAGATTCTACGTTTTGTTAATAAATCAGTTGGGGAATCGGAAACATCGATGTTAAACTCAAACAAATCATTATTTGCTTGCCACCAAAGTCCGAGAGTACATTTAGTTTCACTATCTGATATATAATATTTGTTTTTAGAATTAATGTCTGTGTTTTGCAATATTCGCTTGTCGCTAGCTGCCCATTTTCTCAGCTCAAACCCATAATTATTTAGCAAACATGATAAATTATTTTTAAGATAACACGCTTCTTCTATGGTGTTTGCCCCTGTGAGCAAATCATCAACATAGAAATCGGACGCTATTATTTCGCTTTCTACAGGAAAATTTTGTTTTTCATTTATTGCTACTTGCATTAAGCTGCGAATCGCTAACCATGGTGCAGATGAGGTTCCGTAAGTAACAGTTTTTAATCTATAATGATCAATAGGTTTGTCGACATCTGTACGCCATACTATTCGCTGGAGATCTTGTTGATCCTTGTTAATAACAACTTGTCGATACATTTTGGCGATATCGGCATTAATGGCGTAAATATGCTTACGAAATCGAACTAGGATTGAAAACAAATCATTTTGAATTACCGGGCCAACCATTAGTGTATCATTTAAGGAAATGTCACTGGTGGATTTACAAGAGCCGTTAAACACGACACGAAGTTTAGTTGTAGTGCTTTTCTCATTCAACACACCGTGGTGAGGCAAATAAAACGTATTTTGCGACAGCCTGTTTTCACGATTTATATCAATTTTTTCCATATGCCCCAGAGTTTCATACTCGTGCATAAATTCTAGGTAATGCTGCCTAAAAGTAAAGTTTCTTTGAAATTTTCGCTCCATTGACTGAAGTCGTTTAATCGCGTTTTCAATGGACTCACCTAATTCGTTTACATTCTGCCGTATTGGTAGATTGACTACAAATCGACCTGTTTCATCTTGTGTTGTAGTTTGCGTGAATATTTGTTCACAATCTTTTTCTTCATTTGAAAGAAGATTTTGTTTTAAGCATTCTTCAATTTCCCAAAACCGTTCTAACTGAGATTCAAGTGACTCGTTAGTTGATACATTACAAATTAAGGATTTTTTTGGCAAAAGCTTAAGAGGAATGGGACCTGAAACAATCCATCCTAGGACCGTGTTTTGTAGTATAGGAAGGCCAATTCCTAGCTGAATTTGATCAGCTTTTAATAATCGATAAAACAATTCAGCCCCTATAAGTAAATCGATTTTATCAGGTTTATCGAAGTGAGAATCTGCAAGCGTTATATTAGTTGGTATCTGTAATTTTGATTTTTCAACTACTACCGTAGGCAAATCCTCCGTTATTTTTTCCAACACGAAAAATGTGAGATTAGCGTAAAAATCATCGCATAAAGATTTTATTTTTGAACAAACTTTTGATAAACTACTTGTGCTCGATTTTCCTACTCCAAATATAGGAACATTAGTTTTTGATATTGAAAAGTTCAGTTTTTGACACAAATCTTTAGTTATAAAATTGGGCTGAGATCCACTGTCAATTAAAGCACGACAAATATGCCAATTGTTGTAATTATCATGGATATAAACTAAGGCAGTACCAAGCAAGATATGCGATTCTTGTTTAGCACAATGATTTGAAATTGAATGATCTCTATTACTAGGTACTGTATCTGAATTTTCAGATAAACGCGTTACAGTGCTAGATACTAACGAATTTTCAGCTTTTTCATCGGATATAGTTACCTGATGACTCGATTGTGACTGATTCTCAAAATGTAAAAGAGTATTATGCCGCTTAGAACATTGTTTACAGCCTTGCGATGTGCATTCGTTTAATAAATGATTTGTACGTAAGCAATTAAGACAAAGTTTTAATTGCTTTGCTTTCTCATAACGAGACGCTACTGGTAATGATTTGAACTTATCACATGCATAGATATAATGTGCATCATTACAAAAAACACAAGAAATATTACGATTTGCATCTTGGAAACTAACGTGCATCAATGTTTTTTCTTGAGAATAATTTTTAAAATTCTTATGTTTATAGACTTATCATTTTTCTCACGGTTTACTGATTCGACCTTTCTGTTCTTTTTTTCTAACATATTACACCGTTCTTGTAAAAACTCAATTAACATGTTCGTTTTTGGATGTTTAATTTTTTTTGTCTTTAAATATTCCTCCCACTCATCTTGAGTAGCAGGATCAAGTTTTTGATATATGATATAATTTAAGAGAGTATCCCATGAATCTACAGGTTCACCTAGAGACTCTAGAGATCTAATATGCACTTGTGTATCATCTGTAAAACTAAGCAATTCCCTATTCGCGTCTTGAATTGGTTTTCTATCTACTAGTGCTTTAACATGGTTTCTAGTTACAATTTCGGTATGTTCATACTTGGATTTTAATAGTTTCCAAGCAAGCAGATAATTATCGTTAGTAATTTTTATGGCTTGAATCGTTCTTGCTGCAGGACCAGTTAAAACACCTTTTAGGTAACAAAACTTTCGAACGTTATCCATCGCCCCATCACTATGCACCAATGCTATGAACATATCACGAAAATGTTCCCAGTGTTCATAATCTCCATTAAAATTAGGCAAAATCATTGTTGGTAATTTAATATTAGGTTTATTTAAACTCGTATCAGAAATTGGCGTAGGCGCATTGTGTTGGATATTTCCGATGGCACTTTGATCACTTTGAAGAAGTTTTTTAGCCCGCGCTGTTGCATGATAAAACTTTTCTTCGTGTTGCTCACTTTCATCTGAACCTTCCTCAGTTGTATCAATTAATTCTATTTGAAGTTGTACTTTATTAAAATGCTCAAGATTATAAATTATGTTCTCATATCTAATTTGTAATTGTTCTATCTGATCTATAGTAAATTTATCAAGAAACTTAATAAATCTCGTTAAATATGCCTTAACGTGACCTCTCTCAGCTTTGAGGGCCGCTAACCTTTGCTTTGTTTCCTCGTTCATGGTTTATTTTTTAGCAAAAAATAAAGGACCGACTAACTATAAATGCACAAATATCAGAGACAAAGAATTATTATGACTCACATTAACTCCAATTAGTTTAAATGATAATATGCCCCAAAATACGATACCCTTCAAATGATTTCCAGTCCAATGATATAGGTACTTATTTTTCGCTTTTCGATTGATATCTTCGATGTGATTAACCAACTATTCGGCTGAAGGACCAATTATGTTTAGAGTTGAATGATATTCAAATTTCGTTGAATTAAAAAGACGTTTATTCTTTTATATAAGATTGACAACTCATATCTCAAACCAGTACAAAAGTCATATTCCAAAACAAAAACAATATAACAATCTAAAATTAATATCTTGAAGCTTGTATAACGGAACTGAACAACCAGGTTAATTAAAATAATTAGTAAAAGAATGCTTTTAGAAATTGAACGATTATCTTCATTTTCCTTTTAACACACTCAAAAATACAAAAATAAAAGAATGAAGTATGAAGTGCGGCTTTGACTTCCACCTGACATTGATATCTCAAAAATGCCAACCTTTATCTTGACTTAAGACATTCAGTTAATAAATTATTTTCTATATCAAACTGTGACCTGTTTAATAAAGGTGTTTTTACCTAGTACCTTTTCTTGCTATATCTTCTTCGTTTGGCTTTAAGATTTTTCTTTAACATAATTTTTTCCTTGACTAAGAAACAAATAATTGCACAATTTAACACTTCTTTTTAAGTCGGCACCATTTTGAAGCAAGCGATTAAACTCACTTTGTGAATTAGGTGATAATAGTAAAACTATCGCAGTAGGAGTCACCACCACCAAACAGTACAATTGTTATAGCACTCAACTGCCATGTGAAACTGCCGCTTTAGTCAGAGCTGATTGGATATGCTGATGCACATGACTGAAAATGAAAGATTTTAATTGGTTCTCTATTGATGCCAGAAGTTTTCATTGAAACCTTATATAATAGTAATTAAAACAAAATTTGTTTTTGTACAGAAAAAACTATTAACATTTAAAAAATTATTTTTATTGACATAAAGTACTCCAAAAACTAGCTCTAATATTACAGTCTTTTACTTATAAATAATAGGTATCAAAATAAGGAACTTTAATTATAACATCTACAAATTGTGGATAAAATCAATTCAGGTTTATGCGAAATTACAGGAAACAGAATAAATAATTTTATTTAATTATAGATACTATGTTTTTTTTTTGTTTACAGTTTTTAGAATCTACATCTACCATTCTGATACACACCGTGCCATATCCTAAACGATAACAGATAGAAAGTTGAATTAATTAGATAAAATTTGCGCAATTTTGTGCTTATTAAAATGGTGCCAAGAAACTTTTATTATCTACAAGGAGATTCAAAATATCGATCAAATATAAATGAATTTAAAGAAATTACAATTTTTATTTTTGTTCAATATTGAATCTCCCTGTAAATATCAAAGAGTTCTTAGCACCATTGTACTGATCACAAAACTGCGTAACATTTTTCTACTGTAAACCGTTTAAGAAATAGAAATACTGTCCATATAAAATGGTAGGGACCCCGTATCGTATAGCCTTGCTACTATTAAAAAAATAAAACAATACAGTTTCAAAAAAAGACTTAACATAAATTGTTATAAAATATTATAGAGAAATAAAAATATCATTCTAGTTATTATTATTATTATGATATGATAATTTAGATTATCTATAGTATAAAAACAAATATATGATACTAAAAATAACTCTGTTTACTAAAATACTTAAGTTTATAACTGGAATTGAATATATTATAATCAGTACTGTTAAAAGGTTACTGGGTGATTTGGTGTTATAGTCGTGTTTTATACAAAATATTTTTAAATGGTTATTTACAGGTTTTAAAACCATAATAAAAATTCAATGCGATAATAACGTTAAATTTTTAAATAATAAAAAAAATCATTTAACAATAAATATAAAAGTTTGCTATTATCAAACTAAATCACTCTGTATAAACTATATCCAACTAAAACATTATCTTATATATTACACTCTTCTAACCCACGAATCGGCCATTGGATTGTATACATATGTTCTCCATTGACCGTTCATAATAATAGAAAACGAATTATTGTTATTGATCTCGGGTTGGTTGTTTCCTTCACCAAACCTATTACTGAAAGCTTGGTTTAAACCACCATTCGGTTGTGATCCAGTACCAATTGGTTGTCCTGCAGAACCAACATTCTGACCTTGGTTCGGGATATTTTGGTTGTTAACAACTGGTCCGGCAGTAGAACCTCCTCTATTTTGCTCAATTATTTTGTAGTTGGTCAACCAAAATGGTCTGTTCTCTTCGGGCCACTCGTTAAGGCGATTAACAAGGTTGACATCACCTCTGGCGTCCACAGGTATTTTAGCAGTCGTACCAGCAGTTTCCCCAAATCTGTTTTCCAGATTGCCTTGCACATTTTGGGGATTCTCAGTTTGGTTCTGCTTAAACATGGGATGCAAATTTGGAACTCCTTTTGGGCCAGAGCCTGCAAATGATCCTCTTTGGCTCATGGCTGAAGCGACCATACATGCAAGAATTACGAGGAATTTCTGAAAAAAAAAATATATATATAAAATATAAATATTTTACTCTTAGACTAAGATCCCGACTTAAATCGACCGTCCCAATTAAATACAGGGTTTGTCCACTATAAAGTAACACATTTTAACAGCTTAAAACTAAATAATGGAAAAAGTAGTTTTAGCTAAACTTGTTACATTTGATTCGAGTTTTTATTAACAAAGTTGCCAAATTTATATTTTTTCCCGAAATTGCTGACAATAGGTATTTTTTACATTTCGATTAATAAATTTGAGTGTGTTCGTTCTTGATCTACTTCACATAAATTATTTGACGCTTTTTAAAGTAGTTAAATTATTTTCATAGTTACCTTGATAAAACGGTGTCTAATATGTCTAGCGGCTGTGGAAAAAGGACACAAAAAGACAGTTGATTTTTAGAGAATCAGATTCTTTGTTATTTGAAGTAATCCAAAAAATGCACCCAATATACATTTATAAATGAATAAATTTTAATAGAAAATTCCAACAATCTTCTAATTACATGTTTTTGATGAAGATTTATTAAAAACTATCCCAAACCTTTAATAAATATTTACAATATATACATTTTTATAAAGGGGAAGATTTAGATAGTATAAAAAAATATAGGGTATTCTATTTAAAGTAGACCGATAATATGGCTTAAAAAAGTAATTTTTTTTTCCGGCAGGTTAGGGAAAAAATATACATTTGGAAATTGTGTCAACAAAAATTTAAAGGACATGTAAGAAGTTTAGCGAAATCTGCACGTCAATATATTTTCCATTCTCGAGTTAGAAGCCGTTAGAATGTATTTTATACATAATATAGTGTATAAATAAACAAAACTTGCCAGGTTTGGCGCCCTACATCCGTTCCAGAATATTTTTAATTGAAAATTATTTAATAATACTATTATCTAAAAAATTAATAACAATCGAAGGTTTTATAAAACGTGTTGGTTTGCTGTTTTCTCGTCATAATACCAAATTAATAGGTATAGACAGTATAAGTAATTTACTATCATTTTCACTTTCTTATCTGTATACAGATAAGGAAAGTACAGGAATCATGATTTTTTCGACCTCCAGTTTTCGACGGATTTTTACGTTTTGGGATCCCTTGAATCCGTTTCGCCCATTTTCGCGATGATGTCTGTGTGTGTATGTGTTCTGTGTGTGTGTCTGTATCCATCATAACTCATGAACGGATACAAATAAAAACACCAAATTTTAAACTTAAGCTTTTTTCTGTCCTGCAAGAAACATATTAAATTTTGGGCAGAGTCGGAACATCTGGGGGGGGTCCTTTATAGGTGGTCATTTTTATATTTTATGAAATATATCTGTTATTTATATTTAGAGAAGAAAAGTCTTTAAATAAAATTTACTAACAATATTATTATCTATAATTTTTGTTTTGTACCAAATTTTTCTAAAATGGTCCGTATTCGAGAAATTTGACAAATTGAAAAAAAAATATATTTTTTAAATTTTTAAAACAAAAGTTGTTTGTAATATAATTTTCTATAATTTTTATCCCATAAAAAATTTCTCTAAAATGGACTGTATTCAAGATATTTAAGAACATGTGTATATTACGAATTTTGAGGAAAACTCAAAAAAGGATAAAGGAAAAAACATTCAATTTTAAACTTAACCTTTATGCCGGCCTAAAGTAAAGTGATTAGACTGATTAGAGCATCTGGGAGGTACTACTAGATGTATGTGGAAAATGTATATATTTAGTTTATCCTTTAAACATTTATAGAGGTTCTGCAATAGGTTGTACAAAATAAGCCTATAATAACAAGATAGGAAAGTCATGTGTTGGACACTTCAGATTTTTGTTAATAGTTTATGTGCAGGATGTCCTAGAAAGGACTGAAAACGAAAAGGATTTTTTTATTTTCATCTATTCAAAAATGAATTTTCATGAAAGTTTTTGCCTGTTTCAAAACTAATTATAATCCAAACAAAAGGTATGAAGAATACCATTTTCTCTAAAAGTTGAAAACGAAAAGTTTTTCCTCTCTTTCTGACCATCCGGGAACACTCTGTATAAAATGTAGATAATTTTATTTAGAACACAGGGATACAAGGTTGGCTTGGTAAAAAATGACCTCAAGAATCCATGTTGGTGTAATCACTTACATTTTTAATTTTAAGTATTTTATGTAAAAAATGGGGATAAATAATGCAAAAAATTAATATCTTAGAAAACTATTAACATATTTTGTTGTTATACAAAAAAATATTTCAAAGATTAAAAAAAAAACAAAAAATTCTGGCAACAAAGAATTTTATTTGAAACGAATGAATGTTTAAATGGAAAGTATTTCGAGTAATATCAAGAAAATGCTCATTTTTTATATAATCTATTCAAGAATACTAAAAAAGTACCACATTATTAATGAAATACAGCCCTTTCCATCACCCCAAAAAAAACTTATTGCTAGACTTTTTCGCTACCCTGAATGTATAGGATCAGAATAAAACAATAATAATGCAATATATTCCCATTTATTACCCTTTAATTTGATAATTATTATACATTTATTCGTTTCCAAGAAAATACCATGTTGCGAGACTTTTTCGCTATCCCGTATGTTTTGTTAAATACGTGGTTACTTCAAAACGGATTCTCGGAAGTAGATTTGCCTCTCTATTATACGAAGAAATGATCATTTGCATTCTTTATTCATAGTCATGAAATCACAGTACATACTGTTAATTTAAATAAACTAACTTAAAAAAAAACAAAATAGTGCGAATCTCTTGGATGTCTGTAAAATGGGACATGTTATTCGCCATCGAAAATCTTTTAATATCCCTTGACTCAAGGGCTTGTGAAAAATACAAAAAGCTAGCACTAGAGCAAGCAGAAAAGGAACAATACCAGCGATGCCAGCCTAGACGTCCTGGTCAACGTTTCAACGCGGTCGGTTTGTATAAATGGCATCATTGACACCATTCCTTTTTCGCTCGCGTATTGGAAGACGTTCAGTGGCCGACACCGTATATAAATTCTTTGCCATACTACTACTTCTTAAAACAATGATGTCAAACAACAAATAATTATGTAATATGCTTGAAACATAAAGATCAAGGAATAAAAAGATACTAAGCAATATTAACACTTAATTGACTGTATTTTTAAGGTAATTGTTTAAAAATTAGAAATTATTTGGCAAAAGTTTAACGCACGAAAATGAAAGCGTTTTATTTTTGAATTTTGATTAAAAAAAAAAACAAAAATCATAAAATAAATTATTCTATTCAAGTAGTTTTTACGTTTTTTTTATATATTAAAATATAAAACAACAACAATTCACAGAAATTCATGTTTTAGAAACCAGTTTATTTCATATTAATTGGGTACATAATTGGACCAGTTGTTATTAGGACTTTTTCATTTATTGCGTTGTTAAATTTGATATTGTTATAGCTCGAGTTTACTCTTATGTATTATTATTGCAATTAAATTTCCAAAACACGTCATAAACTCATGAAAGTAGAAGTTGCCACGTTGCGACAAAATTCGAGGATCTCAAGAAATATTTTATAAATAACTAATGTTGACACTTTAAATAATAAATTCATTTAATCTATATATATACAATTTTAGAAGCTCTCGGAAGTTTGTTTTAGTCAAAAAGTACCTAGCTAATGACAGTTACAAGGTAGTTGTAAGCTTAATACCATCAGATTAATAGATGATGTCTGAAAAATTAAAAATGTAAAAAAATAGTTGAAGAAGTTAAAAAAAATAATTTTTCAAATTAGGTGGTACGACAATTGAATTCGACATCAAAAGCAATTTTTTTTAATTGACATTCGAGTATGTACTCACATAATACAGGAATTGAGTTTGTGGACTAATATCTTAACCTATACATTATTAGATCAGAATGGAATACGGGGTAACTCATTTTACAGCCAGGGGTCATTCAGAGGGACTTTATTACACTAGGGGTGGTAGACCTCGGAGTGGAATGGAATACGAGTATAGATCGAGGATAGATAACAAAAAACCAAGATTTACAAGAATTGATGAAACCAAGAAGGGCGTTAAACACTGAGACATTATTTAGAGACAGCAAGTGCATCAAATTATAGGGTAGAGCTATTATATAAATAATATTTTTTTCATTCAGTAAGTGACATTGTGTTTGATATTGTTCACAGTTGAAAAAAATATGATCCAGATCACATATCGCATTGCAAGGATCGTAGAAATTAAAATCCACAATTCCTATTTTGTAAAGATGTTGAGGATAGCAAGCGTAACCCAACTTTAATCGAGTGATAGTTACTATGCCTTTAGGATTTAAATCTTTCTTCATTTTCGGTACTGCTAACTTTCCATTCACATGAATTATGCATGTAGAATATTCACTCAAAAAAACGAATCCAAGCATGTAATGGGCTTATTCCATATTGTACAGTATTTGGTTTTGAGTTAAAGATATTTGTTGTTTTGGGGTTCTCAACTTTTAAAAAATCTTCTGGATGTAGCACAACATATTAAACAAGTTTGGCTTGACTTTAAACCAGTATAAAGTATTAAGTACATTTTCATCAATTAAAGTCATAAAATAGAATACATTTATTATTTTTTAGCTTATTTTCAGGTAATGGTAATTTTATTTCTTTTTTCTACGTTCATGCAAAAACAGAACTTTATTGAACTATATTTAGTGAAAAAACTGGTTCTTTATTGCACTAGTACAATAAAAATTTTATTGCACTCATCTGTCATTTTACTACAGCGTTTTATGATCATGACAAACATAAATATTCAAATCAACGCCAAATATTTAGTCCATTTTTATTTACTGTGTTACGTTTTAAAAACAATTGCATATTTTATCTTATTTTCAATCATTTAATAAATTAATTAATAAAAAAATGTATTTTATTAAAAATGTCATTACAAATTATGAACACAAACGTAAATAAATGCCTCAAACAAAGGTACACGATCACGTCTACTATGATTTGGATAATACAACTGCAGTTCTATAAAACATTTTTTGGTTTGTGCATGAATGTAAAAAAAATATTGTATGCAATTCTTGCAAAAAGTGTTTATTGCACTCGACGTGTTGTCCAACTCGGCCTGACGACAATTTCACGTCGCGTGCTATAAACACTTACTTTTTGCACTTGTTGCATAAATAACTATTAGTTTTTCTATTTTCGAATGATTTTTTTTTTCTTTTAACATATGTTCTGATGATTCTTTAGTAGCCTTTAACTTAAGTGGTCTACAAAACCAGACAGGCTGAGGATATGTTCTACAAAATGATACTATTTTTTGACTTTAAACGAAGAGGTATACATGTCGTTGCAAATAAAGACTCATAGGACTGAGCACCTGAATTGTTGAACTTCTGTTTGTAAGCTGATAGGCAACTACTTCCATTAAAGCCATAACTAAATACTATTTCAGCACTAACTTGATTCAACTTCATCAAAAATGTAATTCTTTTTGTAGTATGTTCCAGAAGATTTGATGAAGAAACTTTCGCTACAATATCAGACACAGTAATACCGGTTAATTTACATTTAGGTTTACATTTCCACATTTCATTATAGATTTGGTACATATGAGATTTTCTTAAAAGAGCTTCGTATCTAATGTTTAAATAATGCTGTTTACTAAAATTGTTATCAAGAATAGATTCTAGGGTTTCTTTAGGCGTATACTTTAAAGTTTCTTCTTTGGGCGAAAACAGCATTTTTCTAATTTCAGCTGGTCGAGATGGACTTTTGTTTACTTCTTTTAGAACGACTGCCAAATCTTGCATTCCTTGTTGTCGTTGTACTATTAATGATGACTTGTGTTGTTTTTCATTTGATAACTGCGAGGCTTCTCTTTTTTTGATCGATTTGATTTTTCAGAAAACGGAATTGTGGGACTGCCAAAAGATGTACATGGCATAGGTTTATTTATCTAAATACTAAAATCACTTTAAAGACCGATAAAGATGGAATGTAATCATATTAAAAATTTCTTGGCTAAACTCCACCGAATTCTATCTAAATCTTGGAGTTTGCAACTTTAAAAAAATATATAGGTACACTATTTATGTATTAATTAATTTAAAAATCTGATGTGTCCAACACATGACTTTCCTATCTAGTTATTACAGGCTTTTTCCGTTTATTGTGTACAACCTATTGCAGCATCTCTATAAATGTTTAGAGGATAAACTAAATATATACATTGTCCACATACATCTACCGCAAAATATTTTTCTATAGATATTCATTGAAAATGAAAATACTGAAAAATTTAAATTTAGCACTTTTCCTACAATTTTTCTATTACGGTCCATTTAAAAAAAATCATGTATGAACAAATATTACAGAGATCGATATCGCAAACAACTTTTATTTCAACAATTTTCATAAAAATCAGAATTTTGCACATTTTGTCATATTTCTCGAATACGGACCATTTCAGGAAATTTTTACATAAAGCAAAAATTATAGATAATAATATTAGAAGTAACTTTTATTTGAATAATTTTTTTCTCCAAACATAAATAACAGATATATTCCATAAAATATAAAAACGGCCTCCCATAAAGTACCCCCCCAGATGTTCCGACTTTGTCCAAAATCTACTCATTTCACGTCAGGCCGAAATAAAACTTAAGTTTAAAATTTATTGATTTTTTCTTTATCCGTTTTTGAGTTTTCTTCAAATTTCGAAATTTACACATTTTCTCAAATATCTCGAATACGGTCCATTTTAGAGAAATTATCTATGAAATAAAAATTATAGAGAATTATATTACAAACAACTTTTGTTTAAACAATTTTTATAAAAAAAAATATTTTTTTACATTTTGTCAAATTTCTCGAATACGGACCATTTTAGGAAAATTTTTGATATAACAAAAATTATAGATAATAAAATAAGAAGTAACTTTTATTTAAAGAATTTTCTTCCCCAAACGTAAATAACAGATATATTCCATAAAATATAAAAATGACCACCCATAAAGTACCCCCCCAGATGTTCCGACTCTGCCCAAAATCTAATCAGCTCATGAGAGGCTGAAACAAAGCTTAAGTTTGAAATTTGGTGTTTTTCCGTGTATCGGTTCATGAGTTATGCGTTATATACACACACACACACACACACACACACACACACACACACACACACACACACACACACACACACACACACACACACACACACACACACACACACACACACACACACACACACACACACACACACACACACACACACACACACACACACACACACACACACACACACACACACACACACACACACACACACACACACACACACACACACACACACACACACACACACACACACACACACACACACACACACACACACACACACACACACACACACACACACACACACACACACACACACACACACACACACACACACACACACACACACACACACACACACACACACACACACACACACACACACACACACACACACACACACACACACACACACACACACACACACACACACACACACACACACACACACACACACACACACACACACACACACACACACACACACACACACACACACACACACACACACACACACACACACACACACACACACACACACACACACACACACACACACACACACACACACACACACACACACACACACACACACACACACACACACACACACACACACACACACACACACACACACACACACACACACACACACACACACACACACACACACACACACACACACACACACACACACACACACACACACACACACACACACACACACACACACACACACACACACACACACACACACACACACACACACACACACACACACACACACACACACACACACACACACACACACACACACACACACACACACACACACACACACACACACACACACACACACACACACACACACACACACACACACACACACACACACACACACACACACACACACACACACACACACACACACACACACACACACACACACACACACACACACACACACACACACACACACACACACACACACACACACACACACACACACACACACACACACACACACACACACACACACACACACACACACACACACACACACACACACACACACACACACACACACACACACACACACACACACACACACACACACACACACACACACACACACACACACACACACACACACACACACACACACACACACACACACACACACACACACACACACACACACACACACACACACACACACACACACACACACACACACACACACACACACACACACACACACACACACACACACACACACACACACACACACACACACACACACACACACACACACACACACACACACACACACACACACACACACACACACACACACACACACACACACACACACACACACACACACACACACACACACACACACACACACACACACACACACACACACACACACACACACACACACACACACACACACACACACACACACACACACACACACACACACACACACACACACACACACACACACACACACACACACACACACACACACACACACACACACACACACACACACACACACACACACACACACACACACACACACACACACACACACACACACACACACACACACACACACACACACACACACACACACACACACACACACACACACACACACACACACACACACACACACACACACACACACACACACACACACACACACACACACACACACACACACACACACACACACACACACACACACACACACACACACACACACACACACACACACACACACACACACACACACACACACACACACACACACACACACACACACACACACACACACACACACACACACACACACACACACACACACACACACACACACACACACACACACACACACACACACACACACACACACACACACACACACACACACACATCATCGCGAAAATAGTCAAAACGGATTCAGGGGACCTCAAAACGCAAAAATCCGTCGAAAACTCGAGGTCGAAAAAAATCATGATTCCTATACAGATAGGAAAGTAAAAAACTAGGGTGAAAAATTACGTATTTTTGTTTATATTAATTATAGGTACATACTTTGACGGTAATACCACAATTCACTAAATATCCAATTTCTAAAAACCACAACAGCTCAGCTTTAAAGTTTGTCTACGCTCGGCGACCTCTTTACGATAACTGACCACCGAGAGAAACTATAACGTGTTATCTAAGTTATGTAAAAGAGACGCTCAAATAAAAATCTCAATTAGGATTTGTGAGCTCTGCAGAATTAATTTTTAATATAACAACTTAAAAATATATTAATTTAGAGTTCAAAAATCACTTTTGGCCTAAAAAATCCCTTCCCAGAAACCATATTCCGACGGAATAAGGAAACATGATTTTCTTAATCTAGGGACCCTAAAACGTGAAAATCTGAAATAATCTCGGAAGGTGACTTTTTCACGATTACAATACTTCTCTTTTATAGAAATAAGTAAATATAAAATTGTAAATAAATATACGGTCGAAACAAAAACAAAGTATAAAATGATTACATCAGATTGAATTTAAGTGAGAATTAATTTATAACAGGAAATGGGTCCTATGATTGAACGTTTACGTTATCCGTAACGTGCATGTTAGGCCGAGTTTTAACAGTAACGAGGCAAGTTGGTATGATGGAAAACTTTTTCCAACACATTACTGTTATTTTTCGACGATTATGTTCTAATTTAACAGTTTTCCATCATATGAACTTGCCTCGTTACTGTTAAAACTCGGTCTAACATTTACGTTACGGATAACGTAAACGTTCAATCATACCACCCAATGTCTGATGAATTTTGATAGATAATTTATCATCTGTTTCTTATTCCCTTTAATAATATTCTAATAAAATATATATTTGGATTCTTTTCATAAGATCTGACCCACCTTAGGTTGAAATTACTTTTAAGTTCGACTAAAATTATAAAATTTTTGGTTTCGTTGTATCGTTTTTATTTGTTTCTACTTCCGGTATAAAACTAACCGTTTTTTAATTACCTTTTGTTCCGAAAATATGTAATTCTCTAATGGATAAAGAAACGTATGTTAATTATTTTTACTTTTGCGATAAAAAATCTATCGTAACGTGTTATTTTTAACGAAAAACGCGAATACATTCACAATTGGGTCTCTAGTTAGTGTGCTATGAATGCTTTACTCTTATATCAATATATTCTTCGATAAACTGCCAATCTTTCTTTCTGTTCGAAAAAATATGGTTTTGTTATAAGTAAGGTAAATCTTAGTTAAAAGGAGTGTTATTGGAAACATGTTTGTTGTTAATCATGGAGAGTGACAGTGAAGAAGGCTTAATTGCACACTGGAAGGTGTTGTCAATTCGGCCACTATAGCGACGATGAATCTTCTCCCTACAAAATTCAAGCAGCAATATATAAATGGATATAAATCTTTTATGCACTGGCATATTAAATAAAGCCTAAATAGCCTCACAAAAGAAGTCCTACTAGCTTATTTTAAAATGAAATCCAAAACTTGCAAATTTTCAACCCTTTGATCGAATTATTTAAAAACGAAGGGCAATCTAAAGGTAAACAATGAGGTGAATATATCAGTTAATACTCTAACCTCACTGCGTATTTAAGAAATATATTAGCTGGATATAAATCCAAAAATT